GTTCGAGTCCTCATCACGGCTCCTACGGATTTTCTTCTTCTAATTATTATTTATTATTATTATTATAATTATTATACACATTTCAATAATCATAATTCTTTTTCAAGTGGTCGCGTCTCAGTTTAAGAGCAAGACTGAAGACAATAGCAAACGTAAGTATGTTGTTATCCTGCCTTAGTCACGCTACCTGTTATCCTGTCTTAGTCACACTAGCTGTTATCCTGCCTCAGTTATACTAGCTGTTATCCTGCCTCAGTCACACTAGCTGTTATCCTGCCTCAGTTATACTAGCTGTTATCCTGCCTCAATCACACTAGCTGTTATCCTACCTTAGTTACACTAGCTGTTATCCTGCCTCAGTCACACTGGCTGTTATCCTGCCTTAGTCACACTAGCTGTTATCCTGCCTCAGTTATACTAGCTGTTATCCTGCCTCAGTTACACTAGCTGTTATCCTGCCTCAGTTACACTAGCTGTTATCCTACCTCAGTCACACTAGCTGTTATCCTGCCTTAGTCACACTGGCTGTTATCCTGCCTCAGTCACACTAGCTGTGACTGAGGCAGCCAACAAATTCATGTTATCCTAGACATAACTCTAAGTCCATCAACACCTCACCGACGTTGAAAGTCCAACCTGAACGGATCATATCTAAAGACGAGTCATCTCTCACTATTCTCAACATCTCTCACGTATTCTTTCTCTGTCTCTCATAAACCTTCTCATTGAATCTTTGTCACTCTCTTGTCTCTGTGTAGATAATGGTGTGCATCTTCCCAAGTGTGACCGCCAAGTGTATCCTGCAGCTGCGCCCCCGTCATCACGCAGCGGGCCGCCCCTGCAGGATGGTCTCCAGGAGAATATCTACGAGGAGTGGCAGGAGCGGCCGGCTGTGGCCGCTGCCTCCCACCACAGCAGCACCAACAGCATCTACGGTCTGGTGGTCAACCTCCCACAGGAACACACGCCTTAAGCCCAGCGCCAAACCCAGAATCTCACTCGTAGTTACCTAGACCGTGTACATTGGAGGTTAACAGGTTATCTTGAGTTATCTTGAGGTTATCTTGAGTTGATTTCGGGGCTTTTTTTAGTGTCCCCGCGGCCCGGTCCTTGACCAGGCCTCCACCCCCAGGAAGCAGCCCGTGACAGCTGACTAACACCCACGTACCTATTTACTGCTAGGTAGCAGGGGCAATCAGGGTGAAAGAAACTTTACCCATTTATTTCTGCCTCGTGCGGGAATCGAACCCGCGCCACAGAATTACGAGTCCTGCGCGCTATCCACCAGGCTACGAGACCCCTACACTGTGTACATAGACCAGGTGCCTACACTGTGTACATAAGTCAGCAGGTATATACACCGTGTGTACATAGGTTAACATGTGTCTACACCGTGTACATAGGAAGTCAACAGGTGCCTACACCGTGTACATTGGAAGTCAACAGGTGCCTACACCGTGTACATAAGTCAACAGGTGCCTATACCGTGTATATAGGAGGTCATAAGATAAGGAAAGCACTATACATTTAAGCTATGTTTATCCTATATATGTCTTATCAATCAAATCCTATGGAATTATTTATCAATATACGTGACCACTTCAGTCCAAGTTATAAGTTGAATGCTGACTTTTATATATCCATTGTAAGTCTGTAAATGGAAGGGAAGGGAATTATCAGGGGAAGAGCGCCAAGCCATTACGACTATATAGCACTGGCAATGGGTCAGGATAAACCAATCGTTCTGTAAATGGAACGATTGGAATCATTTGGGAAAGACTGACGATTCTGAGTCATTGTATATGACTGTCTGGACGTGACTCATTGTCTGACTGTACATTGTACATGACTCTTGATTCCGGTAGTAGTTGTATGTCTCCATGTTTTATACTGTGTCTAGTGCTGTTGCTAGTATTGTAACTGCTATTGTTGCTAGTATTCTGACTATTACTGTTGCTAATAGTGTAACTATTACTGTTGCTAATAGTGTAACTATTACTGTTGCTAATAGTGTAACTATTACTGTTGCTAATAGTGTAACTATTACTGTTGCTAATACTGTAACTATTACTGTTGCTAGTATTGTAACTATTACTGTTGCTAGTACTGTAACTAGTAATGAGTCTATTATTGTAACTATTAACGTTGCTATTATTGTAAACTAATTATGTCATTTGCTTTGTAATTTTTGTTTTCAATTAAGAGTAATAAAAGCAGTGCTATTTTTGTAATGTAAAGTATATTCTAAGAAATAATATTTCAATTCTATTATTGCTATTTTCCTGAGTAATTAATGAGTTTGTATATTGTACATAAATTTCAAGAAAAGTCAATAAATGTTCATATATAATAATTTGAATTAATCGATGTTACTTTACTTAAAACATCATGACTTTTTGGTTCTTTTATTTCTTCTTTAATTTTAACACAAAACAATAATCTCTACTGGAATTACAAATGTATTCCAGGAAATTGTGTACAGTTTAACAGTAATAAAGTT